GAGGGAGGGAGGGAGGGAGGGAGGGAAGGAAAAATAAAAGAATTGATCCCTCCTACATTGCTGGTGGTGTGCAAAATGGGTTACCATTTTGGAAAAGATTCTGGAAGTTACCAAAACTTAAACAGAATAACTACGTGATCCAACAATCTCATGCCTATTTGTATACCCAAGAGCAAAGAAACATTATTTTTTTTTTGCATGTGCCAATACCTGGGCTTATTGAAGAGCTGAAGGACAGTGCCCAGGCCCAGAGTTCAGGCCCCATGACTGGACCAAAAAAAAAGTGTATGATTAATAACTTATCAGTCAGTGGAGACAGGATAATTCAAAGCCAGTCTGGGCTGCACAGCAAGATCCTGTCTCAAAAAAACAAAGAAGCTGGGAGCTGGTGGCTCACACCTGCAATCCTAGCTACTCAGAAGGCTGAGATCTGAGGATTGCTGTTCAAAGCCAGCCAGGACAGGGAAGTCTGTGAGACTCTTATCCCCAAAAAACCAATCAGAAAACCAGAAGTGGAGCTGTGGTTCAAGTGGTAGAATGTGCTCACCTTGAGCTGAAGAGCTGAGGGATATCATTCAGGCCCAGAGTTCAAGCCCCACGACTGACAAGAAAAAGATGGGCCACATATAGTTGCTCATACCTGTAATCCTAGCTACTTGGGGAGATGGGAATCAGAAGAATCATGGTTGCTGGAAAGATTAGGCAAAAAGTTTGAGACCCTCCCCTCCACATCTCAATTAATAAAAGCTGGGCGAAGGTTTAAGTTCAAACCTCAGTACCACCAAAACAAATCACCTCCAAAGGATGAGGACATAGCTTTGGGGTAAATAAAGCCAAAGGGAAGAATAATGGGGGAAAATATGTAAGGGGTGAGTTACATTGATCAAGATGCTTTGTACTCATAACCTGATGTGGAATTGTAACAACTTCGTACAACCACTTAATAATGAAATTAAAAAGAAAACAAGGAAATGAAACAAGAAAGGGATGTTCTGAGAAAGGAAAAGTGCTTATGTAGAGCAGAGTCTAGAGTTCTTCAACCCCAAACTACCAGGACACTGACCTTATGGAAGTCTTTGTTGTTAGGGGTTGTTCGACACCTTGCAAGATTTTTAGCAGCATTGCTGGCCTCTTCCCACCAGGTGCCAGCATCCCTCCCCTCCCGCAGTGTCTCCAGACACTGCCACCTTCACCTGAGGGTTTTGGGGTTTCTTTTCTTTTTCTTTTTGTCAGTCACAGAGTTTGAACTCAGGACCCAGGCACACTGTCCCTGAGCTCTTTTGCTCAAGGCTAGTACTCTACCACTTTGAGCCGCAGCTCTACTTCTGGTTTTTGAGCGGTTAATTGGAGATAAGAGTCTCAGGAGGCCTTTTCTGCCTGGGCTGGCTTTGAACTGCAATAATCAAATCTCAGCCTCCTGAGTACCTGGGATGACAGGTGTGAGCCCAGAGGTGCCTAGCTGTTTTTTGTTTTGTTTTGTTTTTGTCAGTTGTGGGGCTTGAATTCTAGGCCTGGGCACTGTCCCTGAGCTCTTCAGCTCAAGACTAGCACTCTACCACTTGAGCCACAGCGCCACTTCCACCTTTTTTTCTTTTTGCTTATGTGGTGCTGAGGAATTGAACCCAGGGCCTCATGCATGCAAGGCAAGTGCTCTACCACTGAACCACCTTCCCAGCCCCTATAAGGGTCATTCTTAGAGGGCAAGGCCAACTGAAAAAGCAGGGATACAATTGCCACTTTGACAACCCCTATCCCCAGCCCAGCTTGTGTCTAGCATCCAACTACTCCCAACCCCCTTGCTTGAACATGGTGTAACCAGAGTTTCAGGCCAGAGACCCAGTCTAATTCTAATAGGTCAGGTCATACCGCTCTTCCCAACACAGAACACAGTAGCAATGGAGGACAAAGAAACAAGGTTTATTAACAGACACATCACAAAAGAGTCAGAGTGAGCACATCAAACCAACTTTGGGTACAGTCATAACCTTTAGGATTAAGTAGAGGAAGAGATGGAGGTGTAATTCAAATGGTACAGCATTTGCCTAGCAAGCACAAGGCTCTGAGTTCAAACCCCAGTAATTGCAACAAAAAACAGAGGAAGAATTCAGGCTGTGTGTGTGTGTGTGTGTGTGTGTGTGTGTGTGTGTGTAATTCAATAGTCCTGGAAAAACTGCAGTCAATGGTGGTTCATTGTCTCAGGATTTGGTCAGGCAGGGCCTGGTCACAGTAAGTCATTGTTGCCTGGGGAGTAGCTTAGACTCTTGACATAAGATGTTTATCCATCAGTCTTGACCTTCTTGGACTCCAAGGTGACTGTAAGAGAGAATAGTTCAGAGCAATGACGAGAAAAAGGCAGTCAGGGATGGCAAGGTTTGAATCTGCTTTCAATGAGCTTGAGGTGGGGCTGGGAAGGTGGCTCAGTGGTAGAGCGCTTGCCTTGCACTCATGAGGCCCTGGGTTTGACTCCTCAGCACCACATAAGCAAAAAAGAAAAAAGCCGGAAGTGGCGCTGTGGCTCAAGTGGTAGAGCGCTAGCCTTGAGCTGAAGAGCTGAGGGAAAGCGCCCAGGCCCAGAGTTTAGGCCCCACTACTGGACCCCAAAAAAAAAAACAATCAATGAACTTGAGGTCTCAGTAAGGAGTCAATGCTTTTAGCAAAAGCAAGTTCTAAGCATCTAACAGTGACATTTAACCCTTGTCCGTACCTGCCCTTCTTTTCTGGTTTTCTTTGCTTTTTTTGTTGGTTGTGGGGCTTAAAATCAGAGCCTGGGCGCTGTCTCTGAGCATTTTCTCTCAAGGCTAGTACTCTACACTTTGAGCCACAGCGCCCCTTCCTCCCATCTGGTTTTCGAGTTTCTTCTTGACACCACTGTGCAACCAGCCCCAAACTCTCGCCTTCAGCCACTTAAAATCCTGTTGGACTCAGACCAAAGAGGTGTTTCCAGGGTGGATTTGAAACTCTTCTTCCCACCTTTGAGACGATCCTCAGCCTCTTCCCTAAACATAGCCCTAACTCAGGACACACCTAGAACCATGCATTTAATCTGAGCCAGTCTGCGGCACTAATCCCCAGCGCCTTGAGGAAGCAAAACCTAGAAGCTGTTTATCTTTGTCCTGGACTTCCTTTCAGTCCCCACAGCCTAGCATTAAATCAGAGTTCGTTGAACAGAAGTGAAAAAGGAAGCCTAATTTTCTGCAACTCAGAATCTGATTGACACCCCGCAAACGCCCCGGACGGCGCCTCCCGGGGGCGCAGCACTGTCTGCTGTCAATGTCCTCATCTCTAGGAAACTGTCCTGGGAATGAAGGACCAGCAAAGGCCAGCGAGGAAGCAAACACCAGCAACCCTGTTGATGCGGGCCGCGGTGTCATATGATTCTCGAATCACATGATTCAGGGAAATGGGGTGTGGGGAGAGAGGAAATAGGAGAGCGAATGGAGTGAAAAAGAAACTCAGCCTTCCAGGACAGCCCCGCCTCCATGTGGGGAAAGTAACCAATAGGAGTGCGGGATCCCGCATCCCTGGCCAATGGGAACCTCTGTGGGCGGGCCGTCTCGCGGAGGGGCCGAAGGCCGGGAGCTGACCCGGGTTGGCTAACCAGGGAGCACGGACGCGGTCTCAGGTAGGAAGGCGAGGGTGCGCACCTCGCTCTGCCCCTGGCCCGGGGAGGGAGGCCCTTGCGGAAACGTGTGTGCTCGAGGATCCTCTGGGGTCTCAGCCCTGAGACAACGGAAGACCCGTGCTGATAGGAACTCCTGATGCACTAGAGGGGAGGGGTTTTGGTTTTTGGGGAAAGGAGATAAGGAGTAATTGCAGCGACCCCACCCCATTAACAGGGTGGTCGCGCATGCCGGGAAGTCGGGGCGCGCCCTGTCCTTGCACCAGCATTTCTGCCTCGGTCGACTGGTGCCCGCCGTGTCCCTTTCTGGCGGTGGTGGGTGGGCCTCTCAGTGGCTTGGAGTTGGGGGGCCGACCTCCCCTAGCTGGAGGCTCCTTGGGGGCAGGGAGCAGGGAGGAGGAATTGGGAGCTGAGGCTGCGAGCCTTCCTCCGGTGGAGGGTGGGACAGCTAACTTCTGCCTCTCCCTGCCTCTTTTCCTTGCCCCTTGGCAACTGGATTGACTCGCCTTTTGGGAAATTCCTCTCCCCTGGACACTCGGGGTTGGGGGTGCCCCCTGGCGGAAGACTGCGGAGCTCAGGGGCTGCCTTTTGGCTGTTTGGACACCGTGAGGTGGGGGTGAGAGTGGTGGCCACTCTGAACCCTACCCTGTCTCCCCCCGCCCCCCCCCGTTCTTTGTGCGCCTGCAGCGAGTGTTCCGCAGAAGCACACGCTGTGCTCCCACACCTCGGGCTAAACAGGAAGAAAAGTATAGATAAACCAGCAGGGTGCCAGATTCCCCTCTGCTGCCTGCTGAGAGTCGCCACTGGACACTCAGGAAGCTGGTGGGGCATCTGTGGCTGCTTTACTGTGGGGCAAGGAGAGGTGAAAGGCCACCAGGTGAAGGAGAGGAAGATTTGAGTGGCTAAGTAGAGAACGCTCCCAACAATGTCCACATACTGGTTAGGGGTTCCTGCTAACCACACACGGGAGAATTGAGGCAAACAGACAAGAAAGGAACTTCTAAGACCCTCACAATTGGTTGGTGGCAATTCCAGGACTAGTCCTTAAGTGGAATTTCTAGGCAATCTCTGATCCTTTGTTTCTGTCACTTCCCCAAGAAATACTGATGTCTCTTTCCCTCCATGTAGATCTCAGACCTCTGTCCACCTGGGCCTTGGGGGGGGGTCTGTTCCCTGGCAGTGTCTAGGGTACCACTGGTGATACAAACCCAGGTCCAATGTGCTCTGGAGCCATGAAAGCCTGTCATCCCTATGACTTCATGTATGACATGTGACAACCTTTCTGAATTTGTTTCCCTCTTTGAGAAATGAAGGAGATTGTTACTGCTTTGAGAAAAGTTGTAACTGGGTCCTGAGAAGCTCACAAGACATTGCTGGTTTTGCTCCCCCAGTGGGGAGCTGCTGCAAGTTTGTTAGGGAAGTGAGATAGTGCTCACTCAGAGACAAGGTTCTATTTCTCCTGCTGAGTCAGATGGGCAGCCAAGTGGACAAAACTCTTGAGGCTCATGGCCAGGGTAGGAGAGAGAGAGGCAGAGGTAATGGGTGTACTGGGGAGTTTACAAGGAACCCTGGTAGTGTTAGGGGGCTTCAGAACATAACTTTCTCAAAGGATGATCCAGCCTATGAACCTAACCCTGTCCTGGCTGAGAGGACAGTTGTGAACAGGCAGTGACTGGCTTCTAGGGAAGGGGCAGACTCTGTTGCCACTTTGCTTCACACTTTGCTTTCACACTTTCTCAACTCTGTGGTTTCCCATATGATCATGTGATTGCTCCAGTCTGAAAGGCTTTAGCTGGTTGCAGATGGGAGTATAACATCAATCAAGCAGACACTTGGCTGGCTGGTAGGACTCCCTCCTCGCACCCCTGTCGTGCCACATGGTCTCTAAGGCCTTCCTCATATCCTCAGGGTTGTCCCACTTCCTCACAGATCAGGCCCACAGAAACCACATGCCTTCAGTATTCTCCTAAGCCTGTATAACACACTCACGCACAGACACTCGGGCCTTGAGTGGAGACATCGATCCACACATGTGCAAATGCTCTGATGGGTACATGCAGGTGCATGTATAACACAAGGGGTGCCTGTAGGAAGCTGAATCAATCCGTATTTCTGTCCTCCTGCCTGCAGCTGTTGGGGAGGTGCAGTGAGTCCAGGCATGCCCCTTGGTGAGCACAGCCTCAGAACTGAGGGTGATCTGGGCTTAAGCTGGTTGATGAACGTTCCTTGTACTCTGCAGAAAGACCATGTGGACCCTGGTGAGCTGGGTGGCCTTATGGGTAGGGCTGGTGGCTGGAACACAGTGCCCAGATGGCCAACTCTGCCCTGTGGCCTGCTGCCCGGACCCGAGAGGAACTGGCTACAGCTGCTGCAACCCTGTCCTGGTGGGTGCCATTCCTGCCCTAGACAAGAATTGATAACCCTGGAGCCTTGGCTGCAGTGGGTGAGCCCAGCACAGGTCCTTTGGTTTAATCCTCTCTCTTCCTAGGACAAGTGGCCTACAACGCTGAGCCAGCGTCTGGGCAGCCCCTGCCAGACTCATGCCCACTGCTCTGCTGGCCATTCCTGCATCCTCACCATCACTGGAACTTCCAGTTGCTGCCCCTTTCCAAAGGTAAGCGTGCCACTGGCTCGATTGGAGGGGCTTAGAGCTGCATTCACTCTTTCCCTGCACCCTCCTATTCTGGTAAAAGGGCCTTGCCCACACAGGCTTCCTTGTGTCCTGCAGGCCGTGTCATGTGGGGATGGCCATCACTGCTGCCCCCAGGGCTTCCACTGTAGTGCTGATGGGCAATCCTGTTTCCAGAGATCAGGTGCGACAGGGGCTGGGGATGAGCAGGGAACACATAGGAGCCTAGAGTGCTCAGGACCCCAGCCACCTGGGTGGGTGGTCCCGATTCCTGTCCTTGTGCTCTCATTCATATGATACATGTACTAATGCTCTGACAGAAGGCAGCTCCAGGGACCGGAGGGAGCAGGAGAGGATATAGGTATGGTGGGGTAGGAAGAGACCACACCAGGCTAATTCAATGACAACCCACTTTCACTGGATGCCCCACCCTGTCATCTTTCTGAGGCAGGGTCTTTCTTACAGGGAGAATGCGGTAGTGGATCTTGGGCTCTAGTAGCAACCCCTAGAGCCCCTAGAGCTGGACCTACAGGCTCTGATGCTAAAGCTCCTTGAGTGATGGGGAAAATGGCTTTCATTGACTGGGCTGGGCTGGTGGAATCCTGATCATCTTGTCCACAGATAATGACCTCTTGGGTGCTATCCAGTGCCCTGATAGCCAGTTTGAATGCCCCGACTCCTCCACATGCTGCATTATGCTTGATGGCTCCTGGGGATGCTGCCTCTTGCCCCAGGTACAGGTGTGGGGAGATGGGAGTGAGAAGATGTGGGGGGCATGGCTAGAGGTGGGGGTAGCAAAGGTACATCCATGGCTGTTTTTCTCAGGCCTCTTGCTGTGAAGACAGGGTGCACTGCTGTCCCCATGGGGCCACCTGTGACCTGGTTCACACCCGCTGTGTCACACCCACAGGCACGTTCCCCCTAGCAAAGAAGTTCCCTGCACAAAGAAGCACTAATAGGGCAGGTGAGGAGGGAGAACCTCAGGCTGGGGGTTGGGGTGAGGCCTAATCTGACTCCTAGCTAAGTTCCCTCCACCTGGCCGTCCCTCAGGCCTAGTTCCTCGTCCAGTGGCTTTGCCCAGCTCAGTTCTGTGTCCTGATGCACGGAGCCAGTGCCCTGATGATTCTACCTGCTGCAAGCTGCCCAATGGAAGCTATGGCTGCTGCCCAATGCCCAATGTGAGTGAGGGCTGGAGCCAGCTTGGCTGTGTACTTACAGCCACCCTGGCCTGGACACTGCCTTACAGGGGGATCCAGGGGCTGGGGTCAGTTGTCTGATTGCTCAGGGCTCATGCTGCCCCCTAGTGGGGGGACTGGAGCAGTGCCAAGCATAAGCCTGGCTGCTTCCTATGCTCACTTAAGACTGGAAGTTAGACTCACCTCTGGTCCTCACCCAGGCCATTTGCTGCTCCGACCACCAGCACTGCTGCCCCCAGAACACTGTGTGTGACCTGACCCAGAGCAAGTGCCTCTCCAAGGAGAATGACACTACAGACCTCCTGAGCAAGCTGCCTGCACACACAGGTACCTCAAGCAAACCACCTTATTCCACCAAACTGTTCCATGATCAGATGTGGGGATGGTTGCTGATAGCAAGGAGAGATTAGGCAGCAGCCACCTCCCCACATTGGTCTTGCCTCGGGATCACTGCGGGGTGGCATACATTCTGCCTTCTATCTATAACACCTGGTTCTGGCTGTGGAGACTGCAACTGGGTAGACCCCATCCACAAGGCTGACCTGTCCTCTCTCCTGTACAGTGCAGGATGTGAAGTGCGACATGGAGGTGAGCTGCCCAGATGGCTATACCTGCTGTCGTCTTCAGACAGGAGCCTGGGGCTGCTGCCCATTTACACAGGTACCCAAGTACCAGGGTGGGCTGGGCTGAGCAGAGGTAGCAGTAAGCTGAGGCCTTGTGCTCATTGGCCCTTCTGTCTACTCCAGGCTGTGTGCTGTGAGGACCATATACACTGCTGCCCGGCAGGCTATAAGTGTTACACTGAGAAGGGAACCTGCGAACAGGGAGGCTTCCAGATGCCCTGGGTGAAGAAGATCCCAGCCCGCCTCAGCCTGCCAGACCCACAGTCCTTGAAGAATGATGTTTCCTGTGATGATGTTACCAGCTGTCCCCAATCCAGCACCTGCTGCCGACTAATTTCTGGGGAATGGGGCTGCTGTCCTATCCCAGAGGTGCTTGGGTAGGGGGCAGCACTGGGGTGATAGTACCTTGGCCTGGTCAGATGGGTGGCCACCGTGCTATACTCTGTACACTTCCTAGCCCATGCTGGCACTAGCTCTGAGATTCATCTCCCAGCTAGAGGAGCTGTAGACAGGAGACAATTGCCCACATGGCAACTTCTAGAACACTTTTTCTGCCCATCCCCCAGGCTGTCTGCTGTTCGGACCACCTGCACTGCTGTCCCCAGGGCTACGTATGTGTGGCTGAGGGAAGGTGCCAGAAGGGAAACAAGCTAGTGGCTGGACTAGAGAAAATGCCTGCCCGCAAGGCTCCCCAGAACCACACAGGAGACACTGGCTGTGACCAGCATACCAGCTGCCCAGTGGGGCAGACCTGCTGCCCAAACCTGAGTGGGGGCTGGGCCTGCTGCCAGCTGCCCCATGTGAGTGTCTGATGGCTGACCTGGAATAAGGGGGTGTGGTGTGGAGGACGGGAGGCTGGAGTGTGATGTCACTCCATCACTGCAGGCTGTGTGCTGTGAGGACCGGCAACATTGCTGCCCGGCGGGGTACACCTGCAATGTGAAGGCCCGATCCTGTGAGAAGGAAGTGGACGCTGCCCGTCCTGCTGCCCGCCTGCTTCTCGGCCCTAATGAGGGTGTGGATGATGTGGAGTGTGGGGCAGGACACTTCTGCCATGATAACCAAACCTGCTGCCAAAACAGCCGAGGGGACTGGGCCTGCTGTCCCTACCATCAGGTCAGTGCCACCTCTGACCCTGGCACTGGGGATGGGAATGGGTCAGGTTCTGCCTTGTCTAACTGTTTCCTCTCTCTGCCGCCCCGCCCCCCCCCAACTATTCAGGGTGTCTGCTGTGCAGATCGGCGGCACTGCTGTCCTAGCGGCTACCGCTGTGGGGCCAAGGGAACCAAGTGCTTGCGCAGGCAGAACCCGCGCTGGGATAACCTTTCGGCCTTCCCAGCCCCCAGACAGCTGCTGTAAGGAGGAGCTGAGGAACAGAAGACACTTCTCAGCCCTCTGGACCCTGTCCAGAGGGCATCCACCTGCTCAGGCCTCCCTCGCTCCTTTTCCCCCTAATTATCCCTGACCCCCCCCAACTCTGAATCACTCCACTACCATGGAAGGTGGGGGCCTCCATCTAAGGCCTTCCTCATTTAGGGGACAGTGGCAAAAAGCCACATTACAATACAAACTGCCACCCCTTCGCCCAATTTCTTTGGACCCTGTGGCCAGGTGCTTTCCCCTATCCACAGGTGGTGTGTGTGTGTGTACGCGCGTGCGTGTGCTCCAATAAAGTTTGTACACTTTCTTAACTGTCTGATTTGGCCACCCTGCCTTACCTCCCCAGGAGAGCCCTGAACGGGGATCCTTGTCCTGTGCCAACATTCACCCTACACAGAAAGACACACAAGGCGTTCACCTCACCATTCTATATTTGCTGTTGCCCACGGTGGGCCCCATCACCGTACCCCCTAGTCCCCAGGCCTACCCCAGTCACCGGCCCTGTGACATCGCAGCCCAAGAGATGGGCCGGTCAGCAAGCAGCACCCCCTCCCCTCCCAAGGGTCCACAAAGAACGCCCCCTCCCTTCCCAGCCCTCACTAGCAGCCCAGGCTGGGTAACCCCTCCTTCTCTCCCAAGATAGAACTTTCTATGTACAGCCACTTTTATACAGGCACTGCTTCCCCCCCCACCCCCAGCCCTCTTCCCCAGCACCTCCCAGTGGGGGACCGGACCCCTCCCACCTCCCCCTGCTTGGAGGCAGATCCAGGGCCCCTTCCCACGACTTTACCCAGCACATACCACGGAACAGCTTCGCAGGCCCCAGGACGCCTTTCGGGGCTCCCGGGGGTTCGCACCCTGGGGGCGGGCCCGGGCGGGAGGGGGCGGAGCTACTTGACGTTGAACACCATCAGCGGCCGCTCCTCCCGCCGCTGCCACGGGCTCTTCTTGTCGCCGGCGTCGTCGCCCACCTCCGCCCCCAGCTCGTCCTCCGGGCTGGTGAGCGAGTCGCGCCGGAGCTCGCTGGCACTGCTGCGGGAACTGTCCCCGCGGCTCCGGCCTCGGCCCCGGGGCACCGTGGCCGCCCGGCCCTCGGGCGCCGCCACCTCGTCCAGCAGCGGCGTCAGCGAGTTGTCATCCGGCGAGCAGAGGCCCGTGCGGCTCTCGCTGCTGCTGGGCTCAGTGTCCTCACTGAGCGCCAGGCGCGGCGGCGCGGGCGGCGCGGGCGGCGGCGGCGGCACGGCGGCGGCGGCGGGGCCGCGCTCGCGCTCCTCCCGCGGGGGCCGGCGGCGCGCGGGCCGCGCCTCGTGCACGTAGACGCCAGAGTCTAGGCTGGCGTCGGTGCTGCGGCCCCCGCCGCCCGCTTGCAGGTCGATGTAGGAGTGGCGCACCTGCGAGTTGGAGCGCCCGTCCAGCGACACGAACCAGGCGCGCGGGTGAGGCTTCACGCCCAGTTCCAGCAGCTTCTTCTCGGTCAGCGCCTGCAGCTCCCCGTTGAGCTACGCCATGGTGGACTCGTTGAACAGCACCGGGATCGTGACCGAGCCGCTGACCGGCGCCGAGCGCCCGCTCCCCCAGCCCTCACCGCCGCCGGCCCCGCCGCCCTCGCCCCCCGCACCCGGGTGGCCCTGGATCAGCGGGCGCTGGGGATCGGGCTGGGGAAAGGGGCGCGCGGGGCCGGGGGCGGAGCCCTCGGGAGGGGTGGGCTCGTCGCCCACCCCCGCGGCACCCGCCTCGCCGCCCAGGCGCACGTAGTGCGCGGGGATCACCAGCGTGGGCATGACGTTGCGGTAGACGTTGTCCTTGAGGTGGTCGATGGAGCCGCAGAAGATGAGCTGCCCGGCCTGGCTTAGTGACGGCGGCCGCGCCAGCTGGTCCACCGACTGCGACAGCAGGAAGTCGGGGGTCTTGCTCTCGGCCGCCCCCTTGTGGCCCAGGTAGTGGTCGAACGGCGGCGGCGGCGAGGGGGGCTCGTGCAGGAAGGCCGAGGCCCCCGCCGGTCCCCGCCGGTACTCATCCAGGCCCGGCTCCAGCCCGCCAGGCCCCTCCACGGAGCGGGCGCCCTTGAGCCCTGCAGCCTCGGCCCCGCGGGCACCCGGAGGCTCGGTGGCCGGGCGGCTAGACGAGCGCGGCTTGGCACGGAAGAAGTCATCCCGGGAGGAGGCTAAATCTCTGGAGCTGGAGAAGGCCGAATGGAGGGGTCCTGGTGGTGGGGCCTCGGGGTCCCCTGAAGAGGCAGGTTCCAGGGGTCCCCCACAGATGAGGTGGAGCTGGGACATCGAGGTGGCCTGATCGCGTTTGTTACCATCAGAGGGCCCCGAGAGCTGCAGCTTGCGGTGCTGCTGCCTGGGCTTCAGGCAACGCCTCCTGGAGAGGAGGGAACAGAGGGAGGACCATCAAGAAAAGCCCGCAGCACACTCCCCATGATGAAGACAGAGGATCGGGTTCAACGCCTGGGGTTGTCAGAAAGTGGGGAGTATTGTAGCAGGGGCCTGGGAAAAGTTTGTGGTAAGCAGGGCCCTGTCCAGCAGCTACAATTGGGTTCCCATGGGGTAAACACTCGTGTGTGTGTGTGTGTGTGTGTGTGTACGCGCGCGCTAGAAGTGCCTGAGAACCTAGAAGAGCATCTCAGCCAACTAGGAGTGGGTCTGTCCTAGGGTCCCCTGGGAGTGAGAGCTGGCCTAGGTCCCCTGGGCTCAGCAACACCAGTGGTAGAGCAGATCTTTTGAGGTGAGAGGAGTTAGGGGCTGGGGCTGGTGCCCTCACCGGCAATAGTAGATAAGCAGACACAGCAGTATGAGCACCAGCAGAGCCAGAGCCGCCAGGATGGTAAGCAGAAAGATGGTGTGGTAGGTACCAATGTCTTGGATGCCCGACGTGATGGTGACCAGCCCTGTGCCAGGCAAGGGTTTAGTGTTCAGGGATGGCTGTCCTTCCTGCCACTTGCCAAGTTTCCTCTTTCTTCCCCCTGCCCCGATGACCCACCACTCTCACCAGCCGTGGGGGAGGCCATGGCAGCCACCCAGTAGCCCAGCTGGGAGGAGACGAAGGTCCAGTAGAGCTGCCGCCCTTCCTTCCGGATCACACCGGTGCCATTGCGTACCCACAGTCCTAGGAGAGCCCGGGGTGCATAAATCTCCTAAATGTTCTTCCCCCCAAACTCCAGTACTGACAACCCCCTGAGACACTTACCACTCTTGGGGTCAAACCTCCAGGCTGGGATGCTGGTGCCCACAGCCAGAGCACGGGGCTCTGAGGGCACTGGCAGGGACAGGTGAATGGGGCCGGAGAGGGGCACTTCTGTCCCATTGCCTGTCAGCAGGTGGACGCTTACAGCAGCCAGAGGTATGAGCTCTAGCCAGGAGCCATTGCCTGAAAGAAGAGGACACAAGTGCTAAGGAATTGTGGGAAGGGGTTCTTTTCTGTATCCCCTATCAGGCACCTGGCTTACCAGAGCTGGATGCCTCAGTGCCCAGGAAGGCAGGAAAAGCCCTCATTTCCTGCTGGGTGCTGGCAGGTGTGAGTGATGCCCAGAGCTGGCTGTAGGTGGAGCTGACTGGCAGACGGGCTGCCCGGCGCTGAAACTGTACCCAAGGCTGAGAGCGGGCACCTGGATGGAGAGAGAGGGAGCCTGCAGTGGCCTGGGCAAGAGAGCAGAACAAAAAAGCAGGTATGGAAGAAGAGGAGCCACTGGGTGAGGCCAGAGAGGTGGTGACCTGGAGAGAACAGGACAGCCATAGATGGTTCCCTTGTTAGGGACATGAACCTGAAAACTCCCATCCTGATTGTCACCCTTAGCACGTTGCTTGCTTGTTATTTCCTTATAAAATGAGCAAGGGATGGTGGCATGGTGGTGCATGCCTACAAACCCGGAGGGAGGTAGAGAGGTAGGAGGATTCTTCTTTGTCTTTTTTCTTTTCTTTTTTTTTTTCCAGTCATGGGGCTTGAACTCTGGGCCTGGGCTCTGTCCCTGAACTCTTCAGCTCAAGGCAAGTGCTCTACCACTTGAGCCACAGCAGCACTTCCGGTTTTCTAGTGCTTTTATTGAAGATAAGAGTCTCATAGACTTCCCTGCCTGGGTTGGCTTTGAACTGTGATTCTCAGATCTCAGCCTCCTGAGTAGCTAGGATTACAGGCGTGAGCCACTGACGCCCAGCTAGGAGGATTCTTGTCTAAAGCCAGAGCTATGCAAAAGCAAGACCCTGTCTGAAAAATAAAGAAAAAAAACATCCAAACCCTAGTACTGTCAAAATAAATAAGTAAACATGTAAACCTATAAGATAATGAGGCTCAGGATCTCAAGCAATTAGCAACATCTCTTCCATGGTAAGCAGTGTTCTCCATCCTAGGATGCAAGGATGAGTAAGACAGTTCCCTGCCTTTAAGTTCATGGTATAGTGCAATGCTATCCTCCATGGTACTGTAAGAACTTCCTGCAGAGAATGTATCTGTGCTACCCACCATGATACCCACAGGACCATATTACTAGTACTTTTAATTTTTAAGCATTTAATGAATTCTTCCTGGGACCTGGTGGCTCATACCTATCATCCTAGCTACTTAAGAGGCTGAGATCTGAGGATCATGGTTCAAAGCTAGCCTGGGCAGGAATGTCTGCGAGACTCTTATCTCCAATTAACCACCAAAAAACAGAATTGGAGCTTAAGTGGTAGAGTGACAACCTTGAGAAAAAGAGCCCCAGAACCAGCACAAAAATAAATAAGCCGGTCGCCAGTGGCTCACGCCTGTAATCCTAGCTACTCAGGAGGCTGAGATCTGAGAATCACAATTCAAAGCCAGCCCAGGCAGGAACCTTCATGAGACTCTTATCTCCAACAAACCACTCAGAAAACAGGAAGTGGCACTGTGGCTCAAATGGTAGAGCACTAGCAATGAGCTGACGAGTTCAGGGACAGTGCCCAGGCCCAGAGTTCAAGCCCCATCACTGACAAAATAAATAAGAAGGACAGGGAATGTGGCTTAGTGGTAGAGTCCTTGCCTAGCATGCATGAAGCCCTGGGTTCGATTCCTCAATACCACATAAACAGAAGAAGCCAGAAGTGATGCTGTGTCTCAAGTGGTTGCATGCTAGCCTTGAGCAAAAGAAGCTTAGGGACAGTGCCCAGGCCCTGAGTTCAAGCCCCAGAACTGGCAAAATAATAATAACAAATCATTAATTTATTTCAATTTAAATGGACATAAATCGCTAATGGCTACACTAGACAGCTTAGGGTGGTGGTGGTGGTGGTGTGTGTGTGTGTGTGTGTGTGTGTGTGTGTATGTGTTGGTGGAGAGGATAGACATAAAAACA